GGCTGTTGGGGAGGAGATTCTAACTGGACGTGTGTTTATAACTGGACAGATGGACGGGGGACAGATGGGCGGGGCGCTAGAAGTTTCTGGAAGTCAATGGAAGGGCAGTGCAACCAAACATTCATGTTTCTTAAAGGAGAGATTGTCTTATCTTCTCCACTTCACTTACACTCAACCAAACTTGGCGCAGATCTAAGCGTCCATTATGGCATCTGATGCCACAGGTAATGTTCAAACTTGTATGTTTTTACAGAACCCAAACTGTTTGAGAAACGTGTGTTTATATGTAGTTATTTGGAAGGGTAGAGCATCATGACTGTATTTCTAGTTAAGAATATTTCTGATATAAAAGATCTTTTCAAACATACAAGTCCTGAGACTTGGGTTAGCGAGAAATGGCTTAGCAGGAAGTCGTTGCTGTGGAGGAACGCTCACGCGGATGAGTCAGAAACCTGGATCTAGCGTTTTCCTTCCATTATTATACTTTTAACAAAAAGGCATGGATTTTCTCCATTTGCAAGAACATCAGTCTCAGGGAAATGAAGTTTTCACTATTTTGTGTTCCCCTCCATCTAAATGCTTCTCCAAGAAATATATTTTTTAAAATCCTACTGATCAGACTCGCTAATCCACATCAATTTTGTTCACTGCTGGAGCTGCGCTAACTAGGATAATTGCTAATACCACAGTTCCTGAATTTCGATGAATGGTATTCAGGTCCCTCTGTGGTGTGGGGTTTGATTTGGTTTGAATGCTGTGGAGCTTGTACCTGGACCGAGGCGAGTGGGCGGAAGGTCAGCCTCCTGTGAAGGTAGAAGCCTGGGGGTCGGAGCGCCACCCACTCTCCAGTCTACCTGGTGTTTCTTTGTTGTTGACCAGAAAATCACAGAGAACAGCAACTATGGTAGTTCAGTTCCCATGTATGTAGCTTTATAAAGATACTCTTTTAGGAGGCTAAGCGATTTCGAGTTTAATATTATTAACATTAAATGCAAAATGTTTTCAGCAAATAATTTGTTTAAGAAGAAAAAAGGACAAAAGAAAATTTAATAATTAGACCTCAACTTAAAATTGCCACCTGATTAAACATTCATGGGCAACAGGAAAGAACCTGTAACCCCACACACACAATTTTAGCATCACTTGTGGTTTAAATGTCATTAATTAAAAGGATACTTTGAAAGAGTTGCTCTTAATGCATTTAACAGAAGCTTTTTCTGAGACTTGTCAAAGAAGACAACTTTTCCTAATAAGAGGTATTAATTTTGAGTGAAGTTTTCCTTTAGCACTGATGATCATTCTGACAGGCTAAATTGACCACTTAGGAAATTTATAGGAGGCAAAAGTAATCATTATTAGTGGTTCCAGTTGCTGGACAAAGCCCAGACTGGGAAACCTCCCATATTTGCTGAGGCTGGAGTCTAGCGCACTTATTAGTTAGACTTAGTACATGAAATGACAATGTTTATGGTTCAAATATAGGGAATATTTGAATCCATGTGCCTTCCTAAGTATTGATACATTCTGAGCCAAAAACTTTGCTGATCATGGATTCTTACTTCAAAATGGAAATCTGCATTAATCTAACCTTGCATTTGAAATTCAAATGTTTATTTTTTACTGATCATGCATGATGATAAGAATAAACCTAAATTTACATTAAAAAGACTGTTCCAGAAACAATAGGCTTTTCAGCAGACAGGACAGAGAGCCATAAAGTTTGATGAACATCAACTTCTAAATTTCCAGTCTGTAAGACAATTTCTTGTCTGTAAGCAAAATCAGGATTGCGATTCCCATGTTTCATTTTTTTGCCATGGCTCAGCTACTATGAAATGAATTTCAACTTGTATTTATGATTTTGGCTATTTTTGTTTGTGTTTGTCATGTTTTGAAGGCAGAACATCAAAATAATAAATATTAGTTGTTAGTCCTAATGCTGCGACATGGATCACAATAAACCAGGAATTTGACTGGACACAATTTACAAGGGGTGGGTGTTGCTTTATAGGTAAATTACCTATCCCATCCCCTACCTGGGATGCAAACTTTATTATGGAATTATCTGTTCTAGTACCTATAACTGTGCCATAAACCCTGATTTACCTCCTCTTTATAATTTCAGTGTAGGTCTTGAAGCATTTATAACATACAATTTATATATTAAGTTGAATCTGCAAAAATTCAAGTCATATTTGCCGTTGCTACAGTGAGTTTCTTCCAGTGTTTCAGCAATGACAGAGGCTGTAGTCTGTGACTTTGTCCCTTAAAAATGTAGTGTATACTCTCCTGACCTGGCTGATACTAACTTTGCCCCAGAGCACATTATAATCAATAGTACTTATCTATGCCATAGCAGTATGACTGGTACTTTCAACCTGTAAAACATTAAACAAGAAAATCCTGAAACTTCCTTTGGTACCTTTGTTATAGCTAAAGGCATATCTTGTTTTAGATTATATTTGTGCACGAAAGTTTTGTGCTAGATGAGGAAAAAGTAAGAATGTCTCTTCTCACTCCATTCCAACATTAGTGCAACTCCTTTCCTAGATAGTGCAATAAGACAAGAAAAAGAAATACAGATTAGGGGCCTCCCCGGTGGTGCAGCAGTGGAGCGCTGGGTTGCGAAGCTGCCCGAAGCCTCCGCAGCACCGGTTTGATCCCCGGCTGCTCCCCGGCCACTGGGGGAGGGTCCCACATGGCGTGCAGACCTCTCCTGCCGCCCGCTGCTCCCCTCAGCAGTGTGCTTTGGTCCTTCTGCCTGCTCTGCTCCCTGCTCTGGCTCTGGTGAATTCTCTCACCCTCCCACGCTTCTGACTGTACCCAGTGCTTGTATAAATAAATAAAAATAAATCTTTAAAAAAAAAAGAAAGAAATACAGATTAGGAAGGAAGAAACCAAACTGTGATTGTTTACAGATGACATGATTTTCTCTGTATGAAATTTGACAAAATTACATGATTATAGGAAGGTAGCAGGATACACATTTAGTATAAAAAAAGTCAGTTGCTTCCTTCTATAACAAACTTTAACAATTGGAGTTTGAAATTGAAAACAAGACTGTTTAGCACCAAAAAAAGAAATACTAGGTATAAGTACAAAATGTGTACAAGATATTTATAAGGAAAACTACAAACTCTGACGAAAGACATCAAGAGGAGCTAAATAAATTGAGTGATATCCCATGTTCATGGATGGGAAGACTCAATATTGTTAAAATGTATTTCTTCCAACTTGATCTATAGACTCAACATAATCTCAATAAAAATTCCAACAAATTCCTTTGTGGATAGTATCCAACTCATTCTAAATTGTATATGGAGAGACAAAAGATTCAGAATAGCTCACACAACAGTGAGAAAGAAGAACAAAATTGGAAAACCGGTGCTACCCAATTTCAAGACCTATTATAAAGCTTTCCGCTAGAGAAAGAATGGACAGATAGTCAAATGGAACAAACAGAGAGCCCAGACTAGATGAACTTAAATAGAGTCAGTGATCTTTGACAGAGTAGCAAAAACAATTCAATGAAGACGGGATAGGTTTTTAAAAGATCACATTAGAACAACAGGACATTGAAATGCAAAAACAAAGTGAATATATACATGGACATTCAAAAAGTAACAAAATGGAACATAAATCTAAATGTGAAAGCAAAACTATAAAACATTTCAAATTAAGTGACCTTGGGTCTGGCAATGACTTTTTAGACACAAAACCAAAAGTACAACCCATGAAAGAAATAACTGATGAGCTGGACTTCATTAAAAAATCTATTGTATGTTAAAAAAAATCTATTGTGTGAAAGACATTTTTAAGAGAATGAAATAATAAGCTACAGGCTAGGATATCTAATAAAGACAAATCTGATACAGCACTGCTATCCAAAATATACAAAGAACTCTTTAAACTCAATAATCAAAATCAAACATCCCAATTTTAAGAATGAACAATATATCAGAACAGAAGCTTCACCAAAAAGCAGTGTACAGATCGGAAATGCCACACCAGAAGATGTTCAATATCATGTGTCATTAGGAAATTGGTACACAGGTATTAGAGTCGAGCAAATCCAGAACAAGGACAGCACCAAGGTGTAGTGAAGACGCAAGGTAGCAGGCGCTCTGGTTGTCGCTGAAAGGAATCCGAAATGAGGCAGCCATTTTCGAAGACAGTTGGGGAGTTTCTGGCAAAGCTAATCATAGACTCACCATATGTCCCAGGAATCTTGCTCCTTGGTATTTACCCAACTGAGTTGGAAATGTACATCTACATAATGTTGACACGAATGCCTGTGGCAGCTTTATTCATAATTGCAGAACTTGAAGCAACCAAGATATCCTTTAGGAGGTGAGTGGATAGACAAGCTGTCATAATTCATGCAATGGGATATCACTCACTGATAAAAAATGAGCTATCAAGTCATGAAAAAGCAAAAAACACATGTTTTTAAGTGAAAGACACCAACTCGGAAAGGCTATATAGTATAAAGTTTATATAACTCCAACTCTGCGACATTCTGGAAAAGACAGATCTACAGAGACAGTGACCAGATCCGTGGTGGCCAGGGGCTGGGGTGGGGGGTGGTAACTAGATGGCGTGCCGGGGATTTAGGGCAGTGAAACTGTTGTGTGTGATGCTACAAGGGCAGACATGTGAAGTTACGAATTTCCCAAAACCAATAGAATTTCAAACACAGGTGTAAGTTATAGACTTTCGCTAATATCAACATATCCATGTTGGTTCCTCCTTTTTAATAACCGAGATGTTAATAGGGAAAATCAGGTTTGGGGAGGAGACAGAGAGGGTATATTGGGACTCTCCATACTTTCTGCTTCATGTTCTCTGGACCTAAAAAAAATGCTTTAAAAAATAAGGCCCAGTAATTTTGTTAAAAGCATATCTGTGTTTGAAAAGATGTATAATGGACATGTGTAAATTTCTGGAAATGAAACTCTAAGAATGCCATTTAAGAGAATCCATTTCCTTTTCTTCCCCAGCCAGAATTTATACATACATGCTAGAGAAATCCAGACTGGTTGCACAGTCTCCTGGCCAGAGCAATTTTCTCATTTTCTACCTGTTGCTGGACGGGCTCTCTGCTGAAGACAAAGACGGGCTTCACCTGGGCCACCTCCGTGCTCACAGGTAAGCTCAGGCACGAGCCCCGCTTCCCCGGTGCCCGCTCTCCCAGGTCGAGATCGCATTTGAGAGTCTCCACTGGCCCCTGTTTGCTTTCAGAGAAGAAATTGTAACTAAAGAGAGTAATTGGCTCCTGTTGGGTCAGAACCAGTTGTCCAGCTGGGTGAGAGAAGGTTGTGAGGCTTGTGTGCGCATCAACTTCTGTTTCCGTGGCGTGGTCTGCAGATGAGAACAAGAAAATCAGACACACTTTTCCTTCTGGGCACTTTGGAGAGAATGTTAGGCATTTTGAAGCTCTGGTCATCTTTGGAATGATGGGAAATGTAATCTGGGCAATTCTTTTTCGTAACGGGAGGTTCCGTGGTAGGTGACGAGGGACATAGACGCAGAACGTAGACTGGTCTCTGTGCTGGACACAGACAGTGTTTGCTCAATGAGCGACAGTCCCAGGAGGGAAGGAGGTGAGGATGATGTTGTTGGGGGGTCTGGGAATTACTCCCATCTGTGCATTTCACCCGCTGCTGGTGCCGTGCGTCTGCACACTCGGTCAGGTCCCACTTAGACTAGGGTGAGATGAGAAGTGGCCTCCATTCAGGGGAGAAGGCGGGGGCTGGGGGCAGGGAGTGAGGAACCCTGGTCCTGCCCTCTCTGGCAAGGAGGTGGGGGCCAGGAGGCAAGTCACCTCCAGGAGAGATGCGGATTCACGTCTGGTACCGTCCACACCTGGTCTCCAGGGCACTGGCACTGGAGTCAAGAGGAGTGTGCATTTTCACAATTTGCTGAGCGCTCTTGGGAGAGAAGTTGAAGGATGCTTGGGCAGTGGGTGGGTCTGAGGAGGAGGTGAAGGTGGAGAGCTAGTCAGGCCACGATGTGGAGACTCCAGTGATAGTGCCAGCAGGCACAGGGCGGTCTACTCTGGCCTCGGTGCCCAGGCGCCCCCGGCAGGCAAGGAGGCAGGCCCGGGCCAGGCGGGTGTCCAGGCCCTCCCAGCCCCGGCAGATCTTTACGCTGTTTCTCTGGACTGTCTGGCGTTCTCTCTCTTTCTCTCCCCCTCTCTCTCTCTCTTTCCCTCTCTCTCTTGTGGCCTCGTGGTCTCTCCTCTCCTGTAATCATGCCGCTCATCCTCCTGGCTGCTGCCACTGCTTCTAGCCCCACCCCCACCAGCCCAGGTGTGCACACTTACGCATGCTCACACCCGTGCTCCAGGTGTTCACAAACAGGCACGCATGACCCACACCCACACTCCCAATCCGCGTCACCTCCTCCTCAGACCCACCCTCTGCCCAAGCATCCTTCAGCTCCTCTCACAAGAGCGCTCACCACGGGCAAGGGCGCAGGTCGCAGCCACCGAGGCTAGTGGCGTGAAAAGCCTGGTTAGTTCATTTACCCTACCCCGAGACGCTGGAGACGCAGGGTTTTCCTGGGGGCGTGGGGGGAGGTCTGAATGGAACTGACGTCCCGGAAGTAGTTGGAGATGTGACGGGACAACCTCTGACTGTGACGGGATGACCTCGGGGCCACATCTGTTGTCAGGTGCGCTGTGGCAGAGGCGGAGAAGGCCAGGTGTTAGCGTTGGATCATTTTCTATCTTGTAATGAGCCGCTTTCAATTTCCTTGCAAAGGTTGCACTAGGAGGACAGAGTTTGTCCTGTTGAACAGGAGAAAACAACAAGGTGGTCAAGTGTTATGAGCCCTCATGAAAATTGGTTTTTATTTAAAGTCAGGAGCTATTTGGGGGTTTACTACCTTCCCAAACAACATCAATTCAGCAGGGAAATAGAACACTGAGACGCAGGTTGGAGGCCCAGGCAACAGTGACTTAAACAGAAACATAAATCATAGCTTCCAGGGCGTTAGAAGCGTTTTTATCAAATCCCCTCATTTTGTAGAGGAAAACTTCAAAGCCAGAACATCGGGAGGCTCGCGCCGGAGGGGCTCTCCCAGCCCCCGCGGTGCTGCAAACCCGGCGTCTCCTCAGCGTTTCATTCCCCTTGATTCAGCACCACTCACGGGGCATGATTTCTCTTGGAGGAAAAGTGTCAGATTGGAAGCCACGGCTGAGTGTTCCCGGCAAGCTGTGAGAGAGAAAAGCGTTTCTGTGTTCCTAATCTTTCAGGAGGAACTCCGAGTTGGTAGTCGGCGTTTTATTTAGAGGGTGTGTGTGCATATGTGTGTGTATCTGAGTGTGCATCTGTGTATGTTCCTGAGTGTGCATTGTATCTGTGCTTCTGGGTGTGCATCTGAGTGTGTGCATCTATACATGCTTCTGAGTGTGCATCGTGTGTGTGCATATGAGTGTGTGCATCTGTGTATGCTTCTGAGTGTGTGCATCTATCTATGCTTCTGAGTATGCATCTGTGTGTGCTTCTGAGTGTGCATCTACGAGTGTGCATCTGTGGTGTGCACCTGTGGTGTGCATCTACCTGTGCACACACACGTGAGGTTGGCCTGGCACACATGGAGTTGGATGCCACAGTCCGGTGTGACAGTCACATGAACAGCTCACCTCTGCTCCTCCTGGGCTGGCCCTTGGCAGGGAGTGTGGGTGTGGGGGAGAAACAGGCCTTTCTTTATTGAGCTGCGGTTCTGCTGTTCATTTCTCTTTTTAAAAGAGTTTGGAATCACTTAGACTGTTTAGAAAGTCAAACAGCCAGAGTTGCTTTGTGAGAAGCTCCAACAGGAAAGAACTCAGCAAAATGAATAATTCAAGTCCCTTGAACAAAGAAGTCATTTTATTAAATGTATCACAAATGTCTGATGGGTGCAAAACAACAGCTCCCCCAAAATATACCCCCTCCTGGTCCATAAAAATGTCGCTTGAACATTTCTACAAGAATTCCACAGGCAAAATATTCCTCAGTAACAAAACAGACTATTTTGCAAGCTACAATGTTGTGCAACACAATCTTTTTGTGATTTGTGTCAGGGGGTCGCCTCTCAGTTACACACTGGTGAATTTTAGTTTGATGATGCTTGTAAGGTTCATGCTGATGTGCTATTTGAATGCCTTAGTAGTGTTGTTTGAGAATGGTTAAGCAGCACCACTCTGGAGATAGTTCAGCTTGTTTATGATCAATGAAATAAATCCTGAACATGTTAGCTTTCTTTAAAAAAAAAAAAATCTTATTTATTTTTGCATGGAAGAACTGGGGCACAGGCCAGTGGTGCAGGGGGTGAGAGGACCCTCCAGAGACAGAGTGGGGAGCAGAACAGGTGGAGCCACTGAAATCCACTGCTGAGGGGAGCAGCATGGAGACAGGAGAGGTCTGCTGCGGCCTGGTGGGTCAGCTCCCTGGTCGGGGATCGAACTCAGGCCTCAGCAGTGATAGCTCTGAGACTCAACCCCTGGGCCACCAGGGAGGCCCCTGAACATGGTAGCTTTCTGCCTTTCACGAACTGATGGTCTTTCTGAGTTTCCTCCTTGAAATCAGCACTCATAAGTAAAGCAGATAGCTACTAACATATGGTGTGTGCGGACACATGCTATGTGACACACACAGAACCATGCATGAACACACAGACACACATGTGAACATACTATATTATCAGGAGTGCTGCTCTCCCCACCTCCACTCACCTGGTTCCCTGTCAAAGGGGCTGCCGTGTCTGTGAAGTGGCAGCAGCCCTCCGCCGCCACCTGCCACTCCTGGGCTCAACCCCCCTCACTGCACCTGCAGCTTATCTGAAGTGTGGCAGGAGCATGTCGGGCCTTAAGACAAACACTGACGACACCTCGCGCCTGCCCACCCACGGGCATCCCTCCTTTGTTCAGAGCAGCTCATGACTTCCGTGAGCAGACGCGGCGGCACTGTGGGCGCTGGGCACCCGCTGGGGCTCACCTGTCCTCCAGGCCTTAGACCTTCAAAGGGGAGAAGCAGCGCTGTGGCCAGTGCCTCCGTAGAAAAGCTACAAAAGTGCGTTATAAACTTGGATGCCAAAACTTTTAGAACTAAACGTTTTCAAAATCTCACATGAAAATGGATGACGCTTTCTTTCGGTGTTAAATGCACCTGAAAATAGCTCCTGTTTGTAAGGTGGAAATATTATGTAGGACAAGCAGCTCGCAGCGCTGTGTAACTACAGAGTATAAATGGCGCAGATGCAGACATCGGCTTCTATAGCTGAACTGCATGAAAAAATATCTGCAAGACTTTGCATCACCACGTCCCTGTGCAGATTGCCAGAGCAACAGCTGCAGAAACACAAACTCTGGATCCTGGCGGTGCGAGCCCGGGCCTTAAGGCCGCAGTCACGGGGGACGGCCTGCAGGTGGCGCCCCTCCCCAGCCAACAGGCGCGAGGGCCAAGGCTGGCCCCGCTGAATAGGCCTCCCTAGTTAGGGCTCTTCCTGGGGTTGACTTGTTTTCCTGGCTGTTTGTTTTTTAAGTTCTATTTAAATTTTTTTTTGCATGTAATGCTAACATGACTTCTGGGGGATAAATGTAGTTTATGTCCCTGGGATTTGAGATTTAATAAAAGCTCGCAATAGTCGTCGGCTGCTGACCTTCAGCCTCCTTTAGACGACATTCGCAGCTGGGTTCTGAAGTCCAAAGAAGTCCCCCCAGGCCCCCTTCGTCCTGATGGATGGGGGCTTCTGGTCCTGCCCCAGGACGTGGGGGGAAGGCCGTTGGATCCCATCCTGCTGCTCCCCCTGACTGTGGGCCTGCTCGCCCCCTGGTCTCTCCGGTGAGCTGGTCAGGGTCCGCCCAGCCGCAGGCCCGTGAGCTCATGGGATTTGCAAAGGAAGATTGTGATATATTTCCATGAATTTCTCTTCTATATATGTTTCCCCCAATGTTGGGGGGTTAGAAATGATAACAACCTTATGCTCCACCCCATCCAAAATACTATTGAGCAGCTATTATTTCGAGAATATCTCAGCACCTCACCTCTAAGCGGCTCAAATGTATTATAGGGTGAGATTTATTGCTTTTGTGTTTGTCAGTTTTGTGTTTGCTCTCATCCCCCTGCCTGTAAGCACTGTCTGTAGATTTTTCTCTGTCTGCCCATGATGATCATGGAAAGGCGGCTCATCTCCCCATGCTGCAGGTGAGGTAACTGAGAACTCTCGTGACTTGGTTAACTACCCCGCGTGGAGTGCAGGGGACGTTTGTCTTCCAGGTTGTTTGTCCTCAACCTTTCATGAGAAGTTTGGAGAGTGTTCCAAGTAGGAAATGAATCGTATCACAATTACTTCTTACTGCTTCTGTCACAGGAAGAAAATAATTTGCTAAAATCCACTTAAGTTTTCACCGTATTTTTAATAATATTATTATCTTTGCAATTTTGAGGGAAAGATTCCTACACGTAAATAAGCATGCACTCGCTTATCCACATGCACCAAAAATCAATAAGAAATGACCTTTTAAGGCTGCAGTAAATGTTCCTCTGACTGTCAGTGAGTGCCAGTTAGTCATTACCTGCATTATCTCATTTGATTCTTTTAATTACCCTCCGAGGCGGATACAAATGCCATTCCTGGCTGATGGATGGGGACGCTGAGCCCTGAGGATAAGTAACTTGTCCACGGCCATGCAGGAAGAAAATGGAGTCACGCTGATCTCCAACCTGGTGCCTGCCTCCAGGACCCGGTGTTTACCTGCCAGAGGTGAAGGCTGCTCATCCACTCGGGGAGGGGCGATGGCCAGCCTTGGGCTTGAGAAACACACGTTCTTCTTGGATGTAGAACTATAAAGCCACTGCCAGCACCGTCATGACTTTAGGAAAATACAAGTTTCCCGGCACACTCGACTGTTACAGTCTTGCCTGAGTTTTATTTGCAGTCCCTGAAGCTCAGGTCTGACGGTGTCTGTTTTCCCCATCACTCGGCACACAGACGCTGTGGTCCCCAAACGCCCTCCCATCTTTGCTCTTTAAATGCAGTGCCCAGCGCTGACCTTATTGATGTCACTCTGCCTGTCCAGCGGCCATGCTGTCCCCAGCCTCTCTGCGTGGCTTCTGACCAGAAGGCCTCTTCAGCCCCAGCCTTTACACTCAAGCAGATTAACACTGAATAGAGTCTGGTTTCTCTATGAAAACTCCTGGCTCAGAAATCTTTAATAATTATGCTTTTCTGTCATGTCAAATAAAGTTTCCGTGGAGAGGCCGGCAGCAGCGCTGGCTGGGCTGCAGGGGCCTGGTGGAAGGGCCGTCCCCGCGTCCTCTGAGCTTCTCTCTCCAGCCTCAGCCTTCAGGAGCAGAGTCGGTGTCATTCAGGTGAAAACTCCATCCTTGCTGAGAGGAGGGACCTCTCTGGACAGGGGTGGTCAGCCCGCCTGTTCACTGTTCAGTTACGGGGACAGAGCGCCTCCGGAGAGGCCAACACTCACGCCCGACAGCAAGCTGGGGTCACCCCACATTCCAGCACGCTGACGAGTGAGCCGGAGGAATTCCAGGCATCCTGTGTGGAGCCTCAAGTGGCTCCTTGTAACCCCCGGCCCACCCGTCCAGAAAGCCAGCCATTTATTTATGACTGGTGTGTTGGTGACAAGACAGACACTCCTGAGCTTGTTTAAAGCAAAACCCACACCTGGATTGCTAGGAGTGTTCCCATCGCATCTCACTAACTGAGAATCACCCTCCGGCTTTCCCGGAGCTAACGTCCGCTCAGGGGACACTGCCCCGCCTCCTCCTGAGAAGTGGCCCTAGCTCCCGACAGCCACTGCGTCCTGAGTAGCACATATTTGCCCCTAAAGTTCAGGCTAAGGAGCATGGCTTGGGCACACGCTCCTGGGGCCTGAGCGATGGGGATGGTTGTTCCCCCGCCCCCCCAGGTGGAGGCTCCACCTCCCCAGGACCACAGGCAGCCGCCCCCAGCAGTGTCTGGTGGGGGGAGCCTGCCCGTTCCTAACACCCCCTTCTCCGTCTCTGCACTTCTGTCCCTTTGAAGTGCTCCCTCCCTCGTAAACAAACATTACTGCGCAGTGCGCGCCTCAGGGAAGAGTTTCTGGAGAGGCTGCCCTGGCAGGACAGAGGGCGTGGCCTCACTGCCCGTGGCTTCGTGGACAAAGATGCCCTGGGGACAGGCCAAGCACACCTCTGGGGTTCCCTCGAGGCCTCCACTGCTGTTCCAGAGGGACCCTGCTCAGGCCTGTGTGTGTGCACACGCGAGGGTGTTTGTGTGCGTCGGCTGTATGCTGAGTGTGTGAGTGTGCAACTCGCCAGTCTGCCCTGCACACGTGGCAGGGGTGCCCCGGTTCAGCATCTCAGGGTAAACTCCACCACAAGGCCTTGTTTCCTGCATCTCTGGCACCAGACGCCTGAGTGGTGAGCACTCCCCGGCTGTCCCCTAAACCCTCGCTGGGCCGTCGCTGCCTGCTGACCCCCGTGGCTGCGGACCCCGACAGGAGAGAGTCTGGGAGCTGGAAACGCAGGGAGCTGAGGCACGATGGAGGACCCAGATCCAGGATGGGCGGTCACGTCCATGGTTCACAGGAGACACCTGACAAGTTACATGATGCGCAGCCTCTGGTCCACTGGCACAGTGGACACTTGGATTCGTTTTCTGTGAGGAGGGTTATTTGTGGCACAATCTGGAATCACAGGCTACCTCGTGGGGGCAGCCCTGGGCCCCAGAGCTCCCAGCTTGCGGGAGAACAGGCTGGGACGAGGGTCACGGGGGCAGGAGGCACACTCCGGTGGAGGCTGAGGGAGTCGGCCATGCTGGGTCACGAAGAAGCCAGAGGTAAGGCACTGGGGGTGGGGGGGAGTGCAGTGGGGGATGTGGACCCCGGGGCCTGGCAGCACCACCGTCTTGCTGGGGTCCAGCCCCTGGCACAGCCTCTCTGGAAAGCCCCCCAGAAGGACGCTCTCGCTGAGCCAGCAGCCACGGCATGCATCCCCCTGGCTTATTAAAGGACTCCCCCAGAGGTCGGCTGCGACAAGGCCTTGGCTGTTTGGTGCTGACTGGCGTTGAAAGCTCCCTGCAGGGAAGAAGGCTCAGATTAGTTCTGAATCAGCGGCCATGCTTTCCTGCCTTGGTGCTGCTGGCACATTCTCCTGATCTCCAGGCAAATTAATTTTGTTTAATTAACTTGGAGTTTTCTTAAATATCTAGGAGTTGGTTTAATTATGCGTGGCTACAACAATCTATTTTGTGAATGACTTGGCATCGACGTGGCCGTGTGGTTTGATCTGCTCTTCCCGAGCACGCCCGAGACGCCGGGGGCTGGCGTCCCAGACTGCACTTGCTTCCCTCGTCTTTGATGACAGAGTTTTGTTCCGGGTTCCCAGGAATTTGCTTTTTATGGAAATACCCTTGGTTCACATCCTGTTGGCATTCGCAAGTGCAGGCTTTCTTCCCGCACGTGTAGACACCTTAGGGCACCCACAGTCTCCACCTCAGTCGCCGGTGCCCTCTCCCACCCTGCGCTCGCTCCTCCCCCTCGGGAGCCTCAGAGCTTTGCTCAGCTTTCAAGGGTTGATTTAAAGTCTGTCTTCGACTGACCCTGTGCTTGGTGTCTCTGTGTTCCACATATAAGTGACCCCGTCGGTCTTTCTCTTTCTCTGCTGGATTTTTTCATTTAGCATCATCCCCCAAGCGCCATCCATGTTGCTGCAAATGGCTTGCATTTATCCTTTTGATTTCTGAATAATATTCCATTGTGCAGAGAGACCCCAACCTGACACTCTGCTGCTTGTGGGAACTCAGGTTGTTCCCATCATTTGGCTACTAAAAACAGTGCTGCAATTTCTTTCATCCTTCATTCATTGCTTCAGATACTATTATTTGACTGTTCATTGCCACTCCCATAAGGCAGTCGTTACACAAGCACATGTCGTCTTAGAAACTGCATCACCGTTCAGTTCACGTCCTTTAGACAAGGGGTTTCTATCATGTCTGAGGAATCTCCAGGATGGTAAAGCTTTTTAGACAAAATGCTCAGGAGTCAGCAAACACGGATTGTTAACAGTCACTCCGTTAGGAACTGAAATGCACACTCTGAGTTTCTGGTCCAGCCGACTCCTGGTTAAAACATGCACCAACATTCAAGTATTTACAAAAAACAAGGCATTGACCTTCTTAAAATGTCACTTTGCCTGCTCATACTTAATAATTAGTCCTTGCCACCGCGTATGCCAGCGCTGTGTGTGCTGCACACTGTGATGTGTTCTGAGGACACATCGCTGTCACCACACTGTCTGCCCTGCTGATGTGCACGGTGTCCTTCAGCAAACACTGTATCACCAACAGCCACAGTCCCTGCGCAAGTAGAAGCTCAGTGTTCTCATTTACTCAACTGCAGTCTTACGCTCTTGAATTAGCAGTTTATGGGAACAAAGCCCAGAGCCCTGTCTTTCTCTCACCTGACCCAGGCCAGGCTGTCTCCACAGACCCTCTCTGAGGCCCCAGCGCACCAAGGACCTGCCTGTCGCTGTGCAGGCCACAAGGCACAGTCTGAATTTTTGTTCAGCTGCTTCCTTCTCAGACACACTTTATGAGGCTGACATTGCACTAATATTAAAACCAGACAAAGACAGCACAAAAAGAAAGAAAGAAAAGCATAGACCCACTTCCCTAAAGCACACGGACGTGGAAACCCTCCACAGAAACCTGGCACACAGAATCCCTGTGGTGGACACGCGCCTGAGCCGAGTCAGGAGTGTCTGGCAGCGTCTATTGTGGAAGACACGGGCGGGGGGACTGCTGGAGGCGGGGGCTGACCCGCAGCAACCCCCTGGGAACGTGGCCGGAGAATATAGAGCTTAACCGGAGTGTTCCACGGGCGAGGCTGTGGGTCATGTTGCGTGGGTCATGTTGCATGGAGCGAGCAGGGTGAGCGAGACAGAGGTGGACCAGCGGTGAGGGGTGCACCTCCCAGAGGCCCTCAGGCGAGGGCAGGGCAGGCACGAGGTCAAGTCCGGATGAGAGAGCCACGTGGTGCGATGAGGTGGGCCGGGAGCTTGCTGGGAGTTTGGCTTTAAAGAAAATTGGGAAGATGCTCAAGGGTTTGACCTCGGGAGCGAGTTCCCTCCACTTAGTATGAAAAGAGAATGCTGAAAGCAGGTGGAGCGAGCAGGGCTGAGCCGGGTCCGGGGGCTGTGCTGCCCAGGGGCTGCGTGGTGGGGTCTGGTGAGGCGAGTGGCTGCGGGGACGCTGAGGCCGGGGCCTGTGCAGGGACCACCTCTCCGCTCAGTGACCACGAGCGCCTCGGCGGCGGGCAGGTGCGCGCGGAGCAGCGGGGATTCAGCCGCGGCAAATACGCTCGTGGGAGGAACTGAGAAGCAGGAGAGAGAAATGGGGCAAGTTCTAGAGACGCCTCCCTAGAGGAGACAGCCAGTTCTCACGTGAGTGGGAAGGCCGTCGGGTGTGTGGGTGGCAGCAGCGAGGAGCATGGTAGTGCTCACCTGGGCCACATTGATTCAAGGTCCCGGGGCGCCCGGGGGGCCCAGGAGACGGCGGGCCTGCACCGGCTGCAGTGGTGGCTGCCCACGTGTCTGGTGGCACATCCTGTGCGTTTGCCTCTGGCCAGGGTCGCATGCGGGTGTCCACCTTGGTCAGTGCGTTGGCCCCTGCTGACATTCTGGTCTGTTCTTCATGAGGGTGTGTCCCAGCATGCCTTTCACGG